CACTTGCTTGGATCCCTCAGAGCGTTCCTGCCATGAACACTTGCTTGGATCCCTCAGAGCGTTCCTGCCATGAACACTGCTTGGATCCCTCAGAGCGTTCCTGCCATGAACACCTGCTTGGATCCCTCAGAGCGTTCCTGCCATGAACACCTGCTTGGATCCCTCAGAGCGGTCCTGCCATGAACACCTGCTTGGATCCCTCAGAGCGTTCCTGCCATGAACACCTGCTTGGATCCCTCAGAGCGGTCCTGCCATGAACACTTGCTTGGATCCCTCAGAGCGTTCCTGCCATGAACACTTGCTTGGATCCCTCAGAGCGTTCCTGCCATGAACACTTGCTTGGATCCCTCAGAGCGTTCCTGCCATGAACACCTGCTTGGATCCCTCAGAGCGTTCCTGCCATGAACACCTGCTTGGATCCCTCAGAGCGGTCCTGCCATGAACACCTGCTTGGATCCCTCAGAGCGGTCCTGCCATGAACACCTGCTTGGATCCCTCAGAGCGGTCCTGCCATGAACACTTGCTTGGATCCCTCAGAGTGGTCCTGCCATCGTGGGACCACGGAACGCTCCTCAAGGACTTTTAAAATAGGACTTTTTGCACTTGTCCACTTGGGACTTTCAGTTATTGTTAAATAAATATTGTGGAACACCCTTCTGTGCTGTTTTGAAGGTGTACATATCTTGGAACCACTCATTCATACAAACTGATACAAATATCTTGGGACTACTCATTCATACAAACTGATACAAATATATTGGAACCACTCATTCATACAAACTGATACAAATATCTTGGAACCACTCATTCATACAAACTGATACAAATATCTTGGAACCACTCATTCATACAAACTGATACAAATACGTGGTCCTCTGTAGCTCAGCTGGTAGAGCACGGCGCTTGTAACGCCAAGGTAGTGGGTTCGATCCCCGGGACCACCCATACACAAAAATTTATGCACGCATGACTGTAAGTCGCTTTGGATAAAAGCGTCTGCTAAATGGCATATTATTATTATTATATATTGGAACCACTCATTCATACAAACTGATACAAATATATTGGAACCACTCATTCATACAAACTGATACAAATATATTGGAACCACTCATTCATACAAACTGATACAAATATCTTGGAACGACTCATTCATACGAACTGATACAAATATATTGGAACCACTCATTCATACAAACTGATACAAATACACTGCTCAAAAAAATAAAGGGAACACTTAAACAACACAATGTAACTCCAAGTCAATCACACTTCTATGAAATCAAACTGTCCACTTAGGAAGCAACACTGATTGACAATACATTTCACATGCTGTTGTGCAAATGGAATAGACAACAGGTGGAAATTATAGGCAATTAGCAAGACACCCCCAATAAAGGACTGGTTTTGCAGGTGGTGACCACAGACGACTTCTCAGTTCCTATGCTTCCTGGCTGATGTTTTGGTCACTTTTGAATGCTGGTGGTGCTTTCACTCTAATGGTAGCATGAGACGGAGTCTACAACCCACACAAGTGGCTCAGGTAGTGCAGCTCATCCAGGATGGCACATCAATGCGAGCTGTGGCAAGAAGGTTTGCTGTGTCTGTCAGCGTAGTGTCCAGAGCATGGAGGCGCTACCAGGAGACAGGCCAGTACATCAGGAGACGTGGAGGAGTAGTGTGAGTCCTGTGGCTGCAGAATGGTCCAACATGTCTGCTAATTCATTTATATAAATGTTGAAAAGGTTTGGACTCAAACTGCAGCCTTGTCTCACACCTCGACGTTGAGAAAATAATTATGTTCTTTGGTTTTTGATTTTTATTGCACACTTGTTTTCTGTGTACGTACATTTTATAAGGTCATACACCCTACCACCGAGCCCACTTTGGAGAAATTTGAAGAATAGCCCTTCGTGCCAAATAGAATCGAATGCTTTTTTAAAGTCAATAAAGCAAAGATTTTGCTCTCTTTTTTTTGGTGAACGTGTTTATTAATTAGTGTGTGTAAGGTGTATATACGGTCAGTATTGCGATGGTTGGACAGTTTGACATTTACTTATTACTTTTTTCTCTTGAAGAAAGGTTTGAATTCTTGAATTCAAAATGCAACAGAAAACCTTTCCCAAGTTTCTGTTTACGCATATTCCCCTGTAATTATTGGGGTCTGATTTGTCTCCACTGTTGTGGATAGGCGAGATGAGCCCCTGGTTCCAGACATCAGGAAAGCAGCCAGAAGTTAGTACCATGTTGATCAATTTAAGCACAGCATTTTGCAACTCAGGTGTGCTGTTTTTCAGCATTTAATTTATGATGTTATCTAGACCACAAGCCTTCTTTGGTTTGATAGATTTTAGCTTTTCATTTAGTTCTTGTTGGGTTATTGGGTAATCTAATGGATTTTGGTTGTTTTTAATGACTAATTCAAGGATGTTCAATTTTTCTTGAATTTCTAATTGGTTCTGTTGTAAGTCTTTTTGTGGGATGTTTTTGTATAGATTATCAAAATAAGTTTTCAAAATTCCTTCATCTTGTATGGCTCATTCATGTGGCTTTGTTGTGCTTAAATTGTTCCACATGTCCCAGAATTGGTTTTCAATTTCATCAAGTGTCTTTGATACTGTGAACCATCAGATCCTCCTCTCCACCCTCTCAGAGTTGGGCATCTCCGGCGCGGCTCACTCTTGGATTGCGTCCTACCTCACAGATCGCTCCTACCAGGTGGCGTGGCGAGAATCTGTCTCCGCTCCACGTGCTCTCACCACTGGTGCCCCCCAGGGCTCAGTTCTAGGCCCTCTCCTATTCTCGCTATACACCAAGTCACTTGGCTCTATCATATCCTCACATAGTCTCTCCTATCATTGCTACGCAGACGACACACAATTAATCTTCTCCTTTCCCCCTTCTGATAACCAGGTGGCGAATCGCATCTCTGCATGTCTGGCAGACATATCCGTGTGGATGACGGATCACCACCTCAAGCTGAACCTCGGCAAGACGGAGCTGCTCTTCCTCCCGGGGAAGGACTGCCTGCTCCATGATCTCGCCATCACGGTTGACAACACTGTTGTGTCCTCCTCCCAGAGTGCAAAGAACCTTGGCGTGACCCTGGACAACACCCTGTCGTTCTCCGCTAACATCAAAGCGGTGACCCGATCCTGTAGGTTCATGCTCTACAACATTCGCAGAGTACGACCCTACCTTACACAGGAAGCGGCACAGGTCCTAATCCAGGCACTTGTCATCTCCCGTCTGGATTACTGCAACTCGCTGTTGGCTGGGCTCCCTGCCTGTGCCATTAAACCCCTACAACTTATCCAGAACGCTGCAGCCCGTCTGGTGTTCAACCTTCCCAAGTTCTCTCACGTCACCCCACTCCTCCGCACACTCCACTGGCTTCCAGTTGAAGCCTGCATCTGCTACAAGACCATGGTGCTTGCCTACAGAGCTGTGAGGGGAACGGCACCTCCGTACCTTCAGGCTCTGATCAGTCCCTACACCCAAACGAGGGCATTGCGTTCATCCACCTCTGGCCTGCTGGCTCCCCTTCCTCTGCGGAAGCACAGTTCCCGCTCAGCCCAGTCAAAACCGTTCGCTGCTCTGGCACCCCAATGGTGGAACAAGCTCCCTCACGACGCCAGGACAGCGGAGTCACTCACCACCTTCCGGAGACACTTGAAATCCCACCTCTTTAAGGAATACCTGGGATAGGATCAAAGTAATTATTCTACCCTCCCCCTACCCCACCCCCCCAAAAAAATGAATGAAAAAAATATATATACATATATTGTAAAGTGGTTGTCACACTGGCTATCATAAGGTGAACGCACCAATTTGTAAGTTGCTCTAGATAAGAGCGTCTGCTAAATGACGTAAATGTAAATGTAAAAAAATCAATTAGAATGGAATAAGATTGCCCTAAATGCAAAGCAATGCAATCTGCAACCCCTTGTACGTATGTGTTTCGTGTGCGTGTGTGTGTATGTACGTGTGAGTGTGTGTAAATTAAAGGGTCTGTCTAGCCCACTAGTCTGCATATTCGATCCAGTAGTTGGCGCACCTCACCAATCTCTGATAGTTCTAGGTGTGTTTTGCCAGAGGTTACCTCAGTATATGTAGGCTGATGATCTGAATGATACATGTTGTGGACTGCATCATGTGGTGCACTTCTCTGAAGGACAGTGTTCTGCCCGACACTAGAGTAGTGGTCAGTGCTGTGCTGTGATGTGCCGGGTCTAGTAGAGCTGTGTTGTGATGGGTCGGGTCTAGTAGAGCTGTGTTGTGATGGGTCGGGTCTAGTAGAGCTGTGTTGTGATGGGGTCTAGTAGAGCTGTGTTGTGATGGGTCGGGTCTAGTAGAGCTGTGTTGTGATGGGTCGGGTCTAGTAGAGCTGTGTTGTGATGGGGTCTAGTAGAGCTGTGTTGTGATGGGGTCTAGTAGAGCTGTGTTGTGATGGGTCGGGTCTAGTAGAGCTGTGTTGTGATGGGGTCTAGTAGAGCTGTGTTGTGATGGGTCGGGTCTAGTAGAGCTGTGTTGTGATGGGTCGGGTCTAGTAGAGCTGTGTTGTGATGGGGTCTAGTAGAGCTGTGTTGTGATGGGGTCTAGTAGAGCTGTGTTGTGATGGGGTCTAGTAGAGCTGTGTTGTGATGGGGTCTAGTAGTGCTGTGTTGTGATGGGGTCTAGTAGAGCTGTGTTGTGATGGGGTCTAGTCTAGTAGAGCTGTGTTGTGATGGGGTCTAGTAGAGCTGTGTTGTGATGGGGTCTAGTAGAGCTGTGTTGTGATGGGGTCTAGTAGAGCTGTGTTGTGATGGGGTCTAGTAGAGCTGTGTTGTGATGGGTCGGGTCTAGTAGAGCTGTGTTGTGATGGGGTCTAGTAGAGCTGTGTTGTGATGGGGTCTAGTAGAGCTGTGTTGTGATGGGGTCTAGTAGTGCTGTGTTGTGATGGGGTCTAGTAGAGCTGTGTTGTGATGGGTCGGGTCTAGTAGAGCTGTGATGGGCCTGGTCTAGTAGAGCTGTGTTGTGATGGGGTCTAGTAGAGCTGTGTTGTGATGGGCCTGGTCTAGTAGAGCTGTGTTGTGATGGGTCGGGTCTAGTAGAGCTGTGTTGTGATGGGTGGGGTCTAGTAGAGCTGTGTTGTGATGGGCCGGGTCTGGTCGTGCTGTCCTGAGGCGGGTCTGGTCTGGTAAATCTGTGCTGTGTTGGGCCCGGTCTTGTAGAGCTGTGCTGTAAAAAGCCGTGTCTGGCTCTTCTCTCCTGGGGATGGTGGGGGTACTGTTGTTTCAGAAGGTGGGGCGGGGGGACTCTGCTGCTGGGGTGATGGGTGTGTGGGTCCCTGCCAAGTGTTACATCCTTAAGGTCCTTAGCAAAAGTTCTGACACTGTCCTGATCAAGATGTACATTATCGTATAAGTGTTCACCTGTCAGAGTGGGATGGTGAGCCATTCTAACGTTGAGCAGTGAGGCACAGTCCACAGTGATCTGTCGATTTATTCTGTCGATCAACTGTCCTGGGAAGTATTTTCTTGGTAGGAGGGTGGACACAACTATATTGGTTGTTGGGAACATAGCCTGGGCCCGTTCTGCCACTCTTCTCACTGCCCCAGATACATTTTCACCTTTGGCATGAAGGTCGTTTGTGCCAGTGTGGATGATGATGTTGTCGGGGGTGTCAATCCTGGTCTGACTGAGTAGCTGCATTGCACTCTCAGTTGTAGGACACCAGAACTTATACACCTGGTGTCTAGGGAATAATCTTTCCTGGACCAAGAACTTCCCATTTGAATCGATAAGGATTGCAGTTGTGGATGATTGTCTGGGTGACGCAGACTGGGAGGCTGGTAGACTGACCTGGGCTGGAGCAGACTGGGAGGCTGGTTGGCTGACCTGGGCTGGAGCAGACTGGGAGGCTGGTAGGCTGACCTGGGCTGGAGCAGACTGGGAGGCTGGTAGGCTGACCTGGGCTGGAGCAGACTGGGAGGCTGGTAGGTTGACCTGGGCTGGAGCAGACTGGGAGGCTGGTAGGCTGACCTGGGCTGGAGCAGACTGGGAGGCTGGTAGGCTGACCTGGGCTGGAGCAGACTGGGAGGCTGGTTGGCTGACCTGGGCTGGAGCAGACTGGGAGGCTGACCTGGGCTGGAGCAGACTGGGAGGCTGACCTGGGCTGGAGCAGACTGGGAGGCTGACCTGGGCTGGAGCAGACTGGGAGGCTGGTAGGCTGACCTGGGCTGGAGCAGACTGGGAGGCTGACCTGGGCTGGAGCAGACTGGGAGGCTGGTAGGCTGACCTGGGCTGGAGCAGACTGGGAGGCTGACCTGGGCTGGAGCAGACTGGGAGGCTGGTAGGCTGACCTGGGCTGGAGCAGACTGGGAGGCTGGTAGGTTGACCTGGGCTGGAGCAGACTGGGAGGCTGGTAGGTTGACCTGGGCTGGAGCAGACTGGGAGGCTGGTAGGCTGACCTGGGCTGGAGCAGACTGGGAGGCTGGTAGGCTGACCTGGGCTGGAGCAGACTGGGAGGCTGGTAGGCTGACCTGGGCTGGAGCAGACTGGGAGGCTGGTAGGTTGACCTGGGCTGGAGCAGACTGGGAGGCTGGTTGGTTGACCTGGGCTGGAGCAGACTGGGAGGCTGGTAGGCTGACCTGGGCTGGAGCAGACTGGGAGGCTGGTAGGCTGACCTGGGCTGGAGCAGACTGGGAGGCTGGTAGGCTGACCTGGCTGGAGCAGACTGGGAGGCTGGTAGGTTGACCTGGGCTGGAGCAGACTGGGAGGCTGGTTGGTTGACCTGGGCTGGAGCAGACTGGGAGGCTGGTAGGCTGACCTGGGCTGGAGCAGACTGGGAGGCTGGTAGGCTGACCTGGGCTGGAGCAGACTGGGAGGCTGGGAGGCTGACCTGGGCTGGAGCAGACTGGGAGGCTGGTAGGCTGACCTGGGCTGGAGCAGACTGGGAGGCTGGTAGGCTGACCTGGGCTGGAGCAGACTGGGAGGCTGGTAGGCTGACCTGGGCTGGAGCAGACTGGGAGGCTGGGAGGCTGACCTGGGCTGGAGCAGACTGGGAGGCTGGTTGGCTGACCTGGGCTGGAGCAGACTGGGAGGCTGGGAGGCTGACCTGGGCTGGAGCAGACTGGGAGGCTGGTGCAGTGTCATCAGGCTGTGTGGTGGAGGCCATGCTGGTTATGCTGGTCTCAGGTTCTGCCTGTGTTGTACCAAGCTGGTGGACATGTTCTCTAGATGCAGAGGACATATTGACTAGCTGCTGGTTGAGGGGGTAAATGTACCTCTCTCTCTGCTCTGGCTCCTCTCTTGTTGTGCTCAGATGGTATCGGAGGTCATCATTTGTCTGACTCAGTTTGTCCATTCTGCTTTATAATTTAGCAATAGATGCTCTGCTCTCCTCCCTGAACTGTTTCATCTCTTCTTTTAGTTTCTGGACAGTGTCATCCTCTTGAAGCTTGTTCTCTCTGAGTTCTATGACCTCTGCTTCGACGAGAGAGAGGGTGTTGTGGAAACGTTGCATAGCAGGTGTTCTTGGTGTTGTAGGCATGTCCTTGGCTCTGCCTGCTGCAGGTGAGGTAGGTAGAGGGGCACGGAGGGCTTCTTGCTGGGTCACAGAGTCTCTCTCTCTCACCTAGTGTACAGTGTGACTCACATGCCAGGAATGTGGTGGGCTGTCCTGAGAACTATTAATATCAGCTTTCCTCGGTCCACTAAGTTTCCTTGGGCTGTAGCTCAGCCTCTAGACACTGTACCTTTAAGATAAAACATTCAAATGAACAACATTCCCCTATTTGGACTTTTCCCTAGGAACACAATGTTTAGGCTACACCCACAATCTGTTATTTGTGTGCGTGGGCACGAGAGAGAGAGAAAGATTTCCTAATCAGATCAACAGGCAGTGTTGCTTACTGAACAGTTTGGCTTTCCAACATTACAGTAATGTGGAGCAAATGTCTTGACATTTCTCATGAGCTATTTCAGTGACAGAGGGATTTTGATTAGCTTCAAATGTGGATATTAAAACAAATCTATGCCATGTATAACACAGCTAGAGATAATTAAATCCCCACTTTGACGTGATGATTGGTATTTGGTTATGCACATTACAGACAGTTAAAAATACTATTATCAAAACTATTTAGTTGCTCAAAAAGAGTTGAAGTTACTGTTGATGGAAAATGTATTTTTCACAACAAAAAAAACAAACATAATATGTTACGTGGCATTCCCACTGAAGCCTAAAAGGAACTGGTTAACACTGGCACACTGTTGTCAAGACTACAGCATAGGAAGACCATCACAAGGATGGAACATCCCCAAACAACAGCCCCCTAAACAGGGGTCTCCACTACTTCACTGGGTCACTAGGACGCCCCGTGAAGGATGAAAACTACCTAGGAAATACACTATTTCACGTTTTCCTTTCTCAGAAACACGACGGTGTTATGTGTCTGCCTGTAGGGGCACGAATGCACAGTTTGCACTAGAATTCGAACGGAGAAGAAGAAATGACCTTAGCAACAGAGCTGTTTTACGACAGTTGCTGAACGTATTCCAGGCGGGCAGTGTCGTACATTTTGCAGAATCACCATGGCGTCTGTATTGAAAGAGACCGCGGGGCTATATGCAACGTTGAAAACGGAATGGAACAAGAAAAATCCAAATCTGAACAAATGTGGAGAAATATTGAGCAAGCTCAAGGTAAAGGCTATTACAATACTTGGTTTATTAACCCTCAATTATATGGTCTGTTTGTTGTGAATTAGTTCCATAGCCCGCCCGCTAGCTAAGCTAACGTCAACCAACTTGTTTTCAAAGATTAGACAGGACAAACATATTTTCACGATTTCACTAATGTTATCCAAATGAAATCATTGCACGTTTTTGGGATCATTCAGTAGTTTTTACCTAATAAAGTAGAATCCTGTTGAAAGTACAATTTTATATTCCTAAAACATATTTAAAATTATACTATTATAGGCTGGACACATGACATTTTTAACAACGTATTTTTTCTGATAACTAGTTCATTGCATCCGCCGTTTCATAATATGACCATATGTCCCCAACTGCTTGCCGTAATTTTGAAGTAATCGCGAAAAAACAGGCCTCATTTTAGTGCATTTTTCACCCTGCCAGCTCCTATTAGTTCTATTGAGCACCGTGGTACCAACCAACTCCTCAGTAAGGAAAGTAGTTATTGGCTGTCCTAAAAGTCGCTAAATGACGTCATCGCCTAATTGGCAATGTGCAGGTAATTGTGATGGACGCTGTAGGAGAGAGCTATAACGTCATGGGAGAGACAGTGAGTAAAAAAACACCCAACATTTACATCCCGCCCTGAATGTAAGCCAGGGCGGGATCAGCCAGTGGCGGCTTCCTGCATTTGCAGTCTGGACGTGGAGGGGTGAACATCTCCTGCTCTGACTGCAGCTGAGAGGGCCTGCTGTGCGAGGACTGGTTGAGTGCTTTGGGACTGGGGTGGGGCCCACGGCAGCAACAGCTGCTCGTTGAGAAGAGTGAGAACGATAGGTGCTATCACGTCAGTCTCCAATAACACCAGAAAAAGTCGCTAGATTTGTCGCTAATCGCTTTTTTGAAAATGTGTCGCTAGAGGGGTCTGAATACTCGCTAAATATAGTGACAAAGTCGCTAAGTTGGCAACACTGGTACCAACTCGCCTTCCGAACGTTCTATTCCCAGTCACAATGCCTACTTCGCTATTGTTGGCAATGAGACCTGCCCACGTTGAACTCTGAAACTTACCTCAGGTAATTTATTATTAACAAGATTATGGCTACTTTGTGAGCAAGCTGACTGTTCCCCTGGGTACACGTTGTTGTCGCCCACACTGCTAATGATGGCTGGCTTTGCCATCAAACATGAAACATTTTCTGGTCATGGTTAACCATATTTTTTTGCAGAAAAAGGTGTAAACCTGAACAAAACGCATATCCCTGGCCTTTTTTCCCACGATGTGGCCGATTTAAACCGCCAGAAGTCATTTGTTAATTAAGAAAGAACCTTTCTTTTGACGATTTGTTGTTTCTAAATGGCTGCTGGGTAATTTGATATGCGTCAATCTTCGTTCGTAGGCATCGAATTGAGCGAATGCTGGGCAGGTTCACTGAGTTGCACACCATATGGATAGGTCTAGCTCATTGATTTGTAGATCTAACGCAGTTGCTACCTCAGATTATGAGCCAAGCAAGTGTTGCAAATGAGTTATGTAGTACCCACAGAAGGCCACATGGACACGCAAGAGAGCTATAAACCCATACTGTTTTTTTGCCTTAAAAAACCTAACCCTAGGTATAACCTATTTTAGCCTTAACCCTGACCGGTAACACAATGCACCTATAGCTGTCATGGTAACCCTAACCCTAACCCTGACTGGTAACACAATGCACCTATAGCTGTCATGGTAACCCTAACCCTAACCCTGACTGGTAACACAATCCACCTATAGCTGTCATGGTAACCCTAACCCTGACTGGTAACACAATGCACCTATAGCTGTCATGGTAACCCTAACCCTAACCCTGACTGGTAACACAATGCACCTATAGCTGTCATGGTAACCCTAACCCTGACTGGTAACACAATCCACCTATAGCTGTCATGGTAACCCTAACCCTAACCCTGACTGGTAACACAATGCACCTATAGCTGTCATGGTAACCCTAACCCTGACTGGTAACACAATGCACCTATAGCTGTCATGGTAACCCTAACCCTGACTGGTAACACAATGCACCTATAGCTGTCATGGTAACCCTAACCCTGACTGGTAACACAATCCACCTATAGCTGTCATGGTAACCCTAAACCTGACTGGTAAAAGAAGTCCAGCAATTGGATACACTTTATTTCTCAGCTGCCTCACCAATGTCTTTATGTGAATTAATAACTTTTAATTGCTAAATATTTCCAATAGATGCCAGCATAAGACCACAAAGCATCAGTTATAGACTATTGCAGCAATATGATTTACATAAAATAGCATGCAACCAAAGACTATCTGTCCCATGATTTTCTAAAAGGTTACTCATTACTTTACATATATATATATATATATATCGATCGTATTAGGCCTGTGTTGCTTTTGGGAGAGCAAAATAATATTAACCATAGCAGGTATTGAACCCTGGCCAAATAATCACTAGTCAGATGCGCTAACTTCAATTCTAGTATACATGCATTATAGAATCATCTTAATATCTCATATAACAGTAATAGAAAACACTAAAGACTACATCTTCAACAGCCCGCAAATAGATTATATCATGCAACCCTCGCAGTCAACAAATTTACCTCAACATGCCCTTCGCCTGCACGAGAAGACGGAGTGCTCGCTGCCGCTGACAACCAGAGGTGACTGAATTAATGTTCAGGTTTATTGATAATCATTATAGTAATGAAGTATCATTTCAAAACATGATTATAAAAACAGGTAATAATAAAAATGAATCATCATTATATTACATTTACATTTTAGTCATTTGGCAGACGCTCTTATCCAGAGCGACTTACATTTTTCAATATTTTTCATATTACTTCACAGTAATCTGTTAAATGCTTTGTCAGTCCTTCCTCTTGCGTTAGCAGTGTCGAAAGGGACAGAAACAAGTGCGCACGGGAGTTTTCCTGTGAAGGCAAGGAGGGGGAGAGTGGTGTATCCAGAGAGAAACTGATCTTCTGACATTTCATTTGTGGTCTTATGCTGCCATCTATTGGAATGATTTAGTAATTGCAGTTCATTCATTTTCTTTAACAATCTGATCAGACCAAAGTTTATTTACCTAAGGTCACTGAATAAAGTGTATATCCTTACTGAGGTAGTAATTACTCAGAATTACTAAATGTAAATTAGTTGCTAGTTCATTTTATCACTTACAACCATAAAATAAACATTTACAGCATAACAATAAAACTGATGGGCCATTCGCATATACAAAAAACACCGTAGATTTAGTTAATTATTTAAGAAACACTTTCTTTACATGGGTAACATTATCTGCCAAAGTAACACCCCCTTAATATATAAACACAGACACTGGACACAGAATGTGCTTTTTTAAATACATCTGGTAGCTCTTAAAAGAGCCTTTGCTTTGCTGAAATTCAGGTGTGCTGCTTGTCTGTCAGTCTGCCGTGTCATCAGATAAGTAAACCTGTGAATAAGTTATTGCCATGCTTTCACATAGAGGCCTAATTCAAACCACAACATCTGTAACACAAAAAATGCAAATAGCAGCAGATAAATGGTTAAATAAAAGACTACTCTTAACAGCCAGACTGCCATTGTTTTGGGGAAATAGGGACGTCTCTCTTTAGCCAAATATCTCAATGTATGTATTTTAAATCAGGATAACCTATTATTTCTAATGATGTAAGTTTGGGCAGCTTACATTGCTGTTACCAATTGCTGGTAGTTAAACGTCAACAAACAAAATAAATACTCCTGGAACTCTTGAGGTCGTTCCATTGTTTCCTACAGGGGAAGTCGGAAGTTTACATACACCTTAGCCAAATACATTTAAACTCAGTTTTTCACAATTCCTGACATTTAATCCTACTAAAAATTCCCTGTATTAGGTCAGTTATGATCAACACTTTATTTTAAGAATGTGAAATGTCAGAATAATAGTAGAGAGAATTATTTATTTCAGCTTTTATTTCTTTCATCACAGCGGGTCAGAAGTTTACATACACTCAATGAGTATTTGGTAGCATTGCCTTTAAATTGTTTAACTTGGGTCAAACGTTTCGGGTAGCCTTCCACAAGCTTCCCACAATAAGTTGGATGAATTTTGGCCCATTCCTCCTGACAGAACTGGTGTAACTGAGTCAGGTTTGTAGGCCTCCTTGCTCGCACACGCTTTTTCAGTTCTGCCCACAAATTGTCTATAGGATTGAGGTCAGGGCTTTGTGATGGCCACTCCAATACCTTGACTTTGTTGTCCTTAAGCCATTTTGCCACAACTTTGGAAGTATGCTTGTGGTCATTGTCCATTTGGAAGACCCATTTGCGACCAAACTTGAACTTCCTGACTGATGTCTTGAGTTGTTGCTTCAATATATCCACATAATTTTCCTTCCTCATGATGCCATCTATTTTGTGAAGTGCACCAGTCCCTCCTGCAGCAAAGCACCCCCACAGCATGACGCTGCCACCCACTTGCTTCACGGTTGGGATGGTGTTCAAACAGTAATATTTTTGTTTCATCAGACCAGAGGACATTTCTCCAAAAAGTACGATCTTTGTCCCCATGTGCAGTTGCAAACCGTGGTCTGGCTTTTTTATGGCGGTTTTGGAGCAGTGCCTTCTTCCTTGCTGAGCGGCCTTTCAGGTTATGTCGATATAGGACTCGTTTTACTGTGGATATAGATACTTTTGTAGTTTTTCCTCCAGCATCTTCACAAGGTCCTTTGCTGTTGTTCTGGGATTGATTTGCATTTTTCGCACCAAAGTACGTTCATCTCTAGGAGACAGAACGCGTCTCCTTCCTGAGCGGTATGACGGCTGCGTGGTCCCATGGTGTTTATACTTGCGTACTATTGTTTGTACAGATGATCGTGGTACCTTCAGGCGTTTGAAAATTGCTCCCAAGGATGAACCAGACTTGTGGAGGTCTACAATTCTTTTTCTGAGATCTTGGCTGATTTATTTTGATTTTCCCATGATGTCAAGCAAAGAGGCACTGAGTTTGAAGGTAGGCCTTGAAATACATCCACAGGTATACCTCCAATTGACTCAAATTAGCCTATCAGAAGCTTTTGTTTTCTGGAATTTTCCAAGCTGTTTAGGAGGGAGTTGAAAGTCTGTGTTGCCCAGCGACAGCCCCAAAACATCACTGCTCTAGAGGAGATCTGCATGGAGGAATGGGCCAAAATACCAGCAACAGTGTGTGAAAACCTTGTGAAGACTTACAGAAAACGTTTGACCTGTGTCATTGCCAACAAAGGGTATATAACAAAGTATTGAGAAACTTTTGTTATTGACCAAATACTTATTTTCCACCATAATTTGCAAATAAATTCATAAAAAATCCTACAATGTGATTTTCTGGATTTTTTTACAAGTGGGAGAACTTGCACAATTGGTGGCTGACTAAATACTTTTTCCCCCACTGTAAATATTAATTTTATCCCTTAACTCCATATACCGCTCATCCCCGGTTAGTTCCAGGGCCTCCTTTGAGGATTTTACCTCCCATGGCGTATTCTTGATAAGCCTATAATATTTCAAACATTAAATAGTCTTCCTTCTATTGAGTAATCTTGATATTTCTAGAAAATCTAATACATGAAGGGATTTACCCTTTACGGTTTAATCTCGATACCTCTAGAAAATCTAATACATGAAGAATTCTTCCTCTTCTACATTAGAGAGTCTATAGTAACGGGAGATAGTTTCCTATTATATGTATGTGGATTTCATTCTGCTAGATTGATCACATGTACATTAATTATCCAATAAGTATATCCTCCCTTGTATCTCTTAATAGTCCTTTTTCATACTATTTCAATACAGGGTTGTTTCTATTGGTAATGTCCTCTACTACCATGAGTCATTACGGACCCCCCCTTTTATATTCATCTAGAATACTGGCGCATGGGTTTTCTCTAGATAAACGTCGAAAAACTGTATACCGGATGACGATCCCGTTTTGGATTATCGACGGATTACTACCCTCACTACAGCGGATTTAAACTGTTATTTTTTTTCTACTGCAGTTTCCAGATATCAATCCCCCAAAAGCCATGACTAAAAATTACTGACCTTATCCTTGCAGCTGGGATTTAAATTTAGGTTGGATCTCGTCACCGTTCCTGTCATTACCAAGTTAACACTGGCCTGAATTTGGACCCTTAATATAAGGGCAGGTCTTTGTTTTTACGGATGTATCATCCGCCCGTTGACGGTTTTCAGGGCCTTCTGGAACCACAAACGGGTGTTGAGATCCCGCTCGAAGGACCAATTGTCACAAGAATTTTGTTATCTCAATGGTTGAACTCAACTATCACTTTGAATAATTCCCAGAGGTTGTAAGGCTCTGGTTAACGAAGAATTAAACAAATTCCCAGTCTGCAATTGATCAGTCCTTTTATTCAGAGAACAGTCTTTTTATATGCGTTCACACAAAGGAACTTGCTCCGCCCACCTTTAGGCGGCCTGTGATTTATTTTTATTTTTTAAAGAGACTCATGCTTGTTCTTCCTATCTAGCTTTTTGGAAAAATCAATGGGGTGATGATATCTAGTTATCATACAGTGGGGAAAAAAAGTATTTAGTCAGCCACCAATTGTGCAAGTTCTCCCACTTAAAAAGATGAGAGAGGCCTGTAATTTTCATCATAGGTACACGTCAACTATGACAGACAAAATGAGAAAAAAAAATCCAGAAAATCACATTGTAGGATTTTTAATGAATTTATTTGCAAATTATGGTGGAAAATAAGTATTTGGTCAATAACAAAAGTTTCTCAATACTTTGTTATATACCCTTTGTTGGCAATGACACAGGTCAAACGTTTTCTGTAAGTCTTCACAAGGTTTTCACACACTGTTGCTGGTATTTTGGCCCATTCCTCCATGCAGATCTCCTCTAGAGCAGTGATGTTTTGGGGCTGTCGCTGGGCAACACGGACTTTCAACTCCCTCCAAAGATTTTCCTAACCCTAACCCTCTGGCTGGCGGTGGTCCGCTGGAAGGTGGCAGGTCCAATTTGAGATTAGAGAAATTCCTTGCTATTGTCTTTCAAATTAACTCATGGCTTGATGGCAACGTCAGGGTTGTGGGTTTGATTCCCACGGGGGGCCAGTATGAAAAAAAATAAAAATAATGTATGTACTAACTGTAAGTCGCTCTGGATAAGAGCTTCTAAATGACTAAACTGTAAATGTATGAGATGCAAATCACGTCTTAACCAAAACTCCATTTGCCTGCTGGCGGTAGGAATCTCTAGCCTTGGGTGAGGAACGCAGCAGATAGCGGGAGGACATGTTTTACTATCTGGACAGTCATAACCATTTATCAACTTCCATCTCTTTTGAGAAAATGGTTTTGGCCAATAGGGAAAAGGAAACCACACTGACTGGATCATTTCAACCAATCACCAACTCACATCGGCTTCTAAATTTTTACGGGTTGGCTTTCATTTGAATGAAAGCGTAACCCTCAAATCCATTAATTCATTTGAGGCTAGAGACGTTTGAGAGGAGCGTCCAATTAGTTTTCTTTATTTTTCTTTTAGCCACTGGACTGGCATGTATGACAAAAACACTGGTACTAAACCAAAGTTATCGATCTGTTTTAGGCAATCAATTTTGTGAGATCGGGATGACTATAAACTTTAATACTAACATCACCAATCTGAGGTTTCCTGTAATTATTGTGTGGTGAAAACTTTAGTCTGTGTAATGTAGTAACACGCTCTGTCTACCATAGAGAAATCAGCGTAATATAACATAATTAAACATGTTAAAGTAATTCAATAGTTTTATATATGATGGTAAATGTAGCACACACACATTTTTACAACAATTACATCTATTTCTTCCTACTTTAACCATGTTTAATAATGCTCCTAAGCACAATGTTAAATAGGGTGTGCAGCAGGGCTGAATGTTTGACGTCCCTACAAAGAAGTCAACTGTTGCTGTTTCTTTCTATAGATCTCGCTATTGGAGTTAAACTTCTTACCTACAAGTGGGACCAAACTCACCAAACAGCAGCTTATTTTAGCTCGTAAGTATCAAGTCATCTCAACAAAACGCTAGCTAACGTTAGTTTATGGTTTTTGTTGACGTGTTATCCTGCTTGTCAACAGAAAGGACTAAGTCATTGCTCAGAATCAGCAACATAACTTCAGTGTGTGATAACTAGTTAGCTAAGATGTCAGGGTTTGATCATATATCAACTGGATGACAACACTGGCTAACAAATTTCTAAATTCTTTGTCAGGTGATGTTCTGGAGATCGGAGCTCTGTGGGCTGTCCTGAAGAAGGACATCCCCTCCTTTGAGAGATACATGTCCCAGCTTAAATGCTACTACTTTGATTACAAGTAATGCCACTTTGTTTGTTTCATGTTCAATACGATACATTTTTAGATTTTTATAATCTCATACCCCTTGGCTTATTCCTCATTCTGTTACAGCCTGAATTCAAAATAGATTGTAATAGAAGACTTTCACACATCGACACACAATACCAAAGTGGGATGACAAAGTGAAAACATTTTTGCAAATTTATTGAAAATGAAATCTAATTTCCATAAGTATTCACTCCCCTGAGTCAATACTTTGTAGGAGCAGCTTTGGCAGCAATTTCAGCTGAGAGTCTTCCTGGGTAAGTCTCTTTCCATACCTGGATTGTACAATATTGGTCCATTACTATTTTTAAACTTCTTCAAGCTCTGTCAAATTGGTTGTTGATGCTAGACAACCGTTTTCAAGTCTTGCCATAGAATTTCAAACAGATTTAAGTAAAAACTGTAACTCGGCCAGTCAGGACATTCACTGTCTAAGCAACTCTAGTGTAGATTTGGTCTTGATATTGTCCTGCTGAAAGGTGAATTAATCTCCCAGTGTCTGGTGGAAAGCAGACTGAAGCAGGTTTTCCTCTAGTCTCCCAGTGTCTGGTGGAAAGCAGACTGAACCAGGTTTTTCCTCTAGTCTCCCAGTGTCTGGTGGGAAAGCAGACTGAACCAGGGTTTCCTCTAGTTCCATGTCTGGTGGCAAGAGACTGAACCCAGGTTTTCCTCTAGTCTCCCAGTGTCTGGTGGAAAGCAGACTGAACCAGGGTTTCCTCTAGTCTCCCAGTGTCTGGTGGAAAGCAGACTGAACCAGGTTTTCCTCTAGGATTCTGCCTGTGCTTAGCTCCATTACGTTTGTTTTGTCTGGGGGAAAAACTCCCCAGTCCTTAACGATTACAAGCATACCCATAACATGATGCAGCTACCACTATGCTTGAAAATATGGAGAGTGGTACTCAGTAATGTGTTATATTGGATTTGCCCCAAACATAACAATTTTGTATTCAGGACAAAAAGTGAATTGCTTTCCAACATTTTTTGCAGTATCGCTTTAGTGCCTTGTTGCAAACAGGATGCATGTTTTGGAATATTTGTATTCTGTACAGCAGGGTTCGTCAACTAGGTTGGCCTCGGGGCAAAACTATTCTGAGCTAATAGTCGGCGGAGCATAATTAGTATATAATATTAGCACAATTAATAAAACACTACAAATTGAACAACTTCTAAAATTGAATTAGTACATAATAAATTCAGTGACAATAACAATTTCGATCTGATAACGCTCATAAAATCACCATGTCTCTATTTAATTATTATTTTTGTCTTTCTCTGCGTTGATTGGTGGAGAAAACAGGTATACGTAGCCTACTATTGGCTACACTACTTTTTTTAACTTCAACATTTGTTCAGAACAATTAGCTTGGTAGCAAGAGAAAATGTTACACTCAAATTATCAAAAGAAAGGTGGTTAATGAAAATCGAAGTTTCAGGGAAGAATGTTCAGAGATGCGTTCATTTTACCATATTTTCCTAATGCCAAGCCAGTGTGTCTTATTTGCAATGAAAATGTCGCTGTTTTCAGACGTCGTCATGAATCTAATCATGGCGTTCTTGACCCAGACAGAGGCTTGATGCAGAGAAAGCTCATTAACATTGAAGTGTTAACTGCAAGCTACACGCACTGCTTTTTTGGCTGACATATTCTGTCACTTAAATGGGTTCAATCTGCAGTTACAAGGAAGAGGGAAAACAGTCGTGGACATGGTGGAAAAACTTGAGGCCTTTACTAGGAAGCTTGAGTTGTTGGATTTGGACTTGTCATTTGGAAGACTACTGCACTCCAGCACACTGAAGAAACGACAGGCAGAGGGACCAGGCCGCAGCATTATCACAGAGGACAAGCTGAGGGACCAGGCCGCAGCATTATCACAGAGGACAGGCAGAGGGACCAGGCCGCAGCATTATCACATAGGACAGGCAGAGGGACTAGGCCGCAGCATTATCACAGCATTAACTGCTATTCCAGTTTCAACTGTTCTGCCTGCGGTTACGAAACCCCTACCTGTCCCAGACCTGCTGTTTTCAACTCTTAATGATCGGCTATGAAAAGCCAACTGAGAGACCTGAGCCCTAGGACCATACGTCGGGACTACCGGCCGTGGTGACTCCTTGCTGTCCCCAGTCCGCCTGGCCTTGCTGCTATTCCAGTTTCAACTGTTCTGCCTGCGGTTATGGAACTCCTACCTGTCCCAGACCTGCTGTTTTCAACTCTTAATGATCGGCTATGAAAAGCCAACTGAGATTTATTCCTGATTATTATTTGACCATGCTTGTCACTTATGAACATTTTTGAACATCTTGGCATGGTTCTGTTATAATCTCCACCCGGCACAGCCAGAAGAGGACTGGCCACCCCTCATAGCCTGGTTCCTCTCTAGGTTTCTTCCTAGGTTTTGGCCTTTCTAGGGAGTTTTTCCTAGCCACCGTGCTTCTACACCTGCATTACTAGCTGTTTGGGGTTTTAGGCTGGGTTTCTGTACAGCACTTCGAGATATTAGCTGATGTAAGAAGGGCTATATAAAATAAAATTGATTGAATTGATTGATCACAGAGGACAGGCTGAGGGACCAGGCCGCAGCATTATCACAGAGGACAGGCTGAGGGACCAGGCCGCAGCATTATCACAGAGGACAGGCTGAGGGACCAGGCATTATCACAGAGGACAGGCAGAGGGACCAGGCTGCAGCATTATCAATTTTTAGGGCCTTCCTCTGACACCGCCTGGTATAGAGGTCCTGGATGGCAGGAAGTTTGGCCCCAGTGATGTATTGGGCCGTACGCACTACCCTCTGTAGTGCCTTGCGGTCGGAGGCCGAGCAGTTGCCATACCAGTCGGTGATGCAACCAGTCAGGATGCTCTCGATGGTGCCGCTGTATAATTTTTTGAGGATCTGAGGACCCATGCCAAGTCTTTTCAGTCTCCTGAGGGGGAATAGGCTTTGTCGTGCCCTCTTCACGACTGTCTTGGTGTGTTTGGACCATGATAGTTTGTTGGTGATGTGGACACCAAGGAAATTGAAGCTCTCAACCTGTTCCACTACAGCCCTGTCGATGTGAATGGGGGCGTGCTGACTTTTTTCCCCTGTAGTCCACAATCATCTCCTTTGTTTTGGTCACGTTGAGGGAGAGGTTGTTATCCTGGCACCACACGGCCAGGTCTCTGACCACCTCCCTGTAGGCTGTCTCATTGTTGTCGGTGATCAGGCCTACCACTGTTGTGTCGTCGGCAAACTTAATGATGGTGTTGGAGTCGTGCCTGGCCATGCAGTCATGGGTGAACAGGGAGTACAGGACCGGACTAAGCACGCACCCCTGAAGGGCCCCCGTGTTGAGGATCGGCGTGGGAGATGTGTTGTTACCTACCCTTACCACCTGGGGGTGTCCTGTCAGGAAGTCCAGGATCCAGTTGCAGAGGGAGGTGTTTAGTCCCAGGGTCCTTAGCTTAGTGATGAACTTTAAGGGCACTGTGGTGTTGAACGCTGAGCTGTAGTCAATGAATAGCATTCTCACGTAGGTGTTCCTCTTGTCCAGGTGGGAAAGGGCAGTGTGGAGTGCAATAGAGATTGCATCATCTGTGGATCTGTTGGGGCGCAGTATGCAAATTGGAGTGGGTCTAGGGTTTCTGGGATAATGGTGTTGATGTGAGCCATGCCCAGCCTTTCAAAGCACTTCATGGCTACAGACGTCAGTGCTACGGGTCGGTAGTCATTTAGGCAGGTTATCTTAGTGTCCTTGGGCACGGGGACTACGGTGGTCTGCTTGAAACATGTTGGTATTACAGACTCAGTCAGGGACATGTTGAAAATGTCGGTTGTTGGTCAGCACATGCTCGGAGTACACGTCCTGGTAATCCGTCTGGCCCTGCGGCCTTGTGAATGTTGACCTGCTTAAAAGTCTTACATCGGCTACGGAGAGTGTGATCACATAGTCATCCGGAACAGCTGATGCACTCATGCAGGCTTCGGTGTTGCTTGCCTCGAAGTGAGCATAGAAGAGATTTAGCTCGTCTGGTAGGCTTGTGTCACTGGGCAGCTCGCGGCTGTGCTTCCCTTTGTCGTCTAATAGTTTGCAAGCCCTGCCACATCCGACGAGCATCAGAGCCGGTGTAGTACGATTCAATCTTAGTCCTGTATTGACTCTTTGCCTGTTTGATGGTTCGTCGGAGGGCATAGCGGGATTTCTTATGTGTCCGGGTTAGAGTCCCACTCCTTGAAAGCGGCAGCTCTACCCTTTAGCTCAGTGCGGATGTTTCCTGTAATCCATGGCTTCTGGTTGGGGTATGTACGTATGGTCACTGTGGGGGACGACGTCATCGATGCACTTATCTGGTGTTATTCTCCTGTCTTATCCAGTGTCCTGTGAATTTAAGTATGCTCCCTCTAATTCTTCCCCTCTCCCTCCCATCCCGGAGGACCTGAGCCCTAGGACCATGCCTCAGGACTACCTGGCCTGATGACTCCTGGCTGTCCCCAGTCCACCTGGTCGTGCTGCTGCTCCAGTTTCCACTCTTCTGCCTGCGGTTATGGAACCCTGACCTGTTCACTGGACGTGCTACCTTGTCCCAGACCTGCTGTTTTCAACTCTCTCTCTCTACCGCACCTGCTGTTTCAACCTCTAAATGCCTGGCTATGAAAAGCCAAGTGACATTTACTCCTGATGTACTGACCTGTTGCAACCTCTACAACCACTGTGATTATTATTTGACCCTGCTGGTCATCTATGAACGTTTGAACATCTTGGAGAAAAATCTGGCCTTAATGGCCATGTACTGTTATAATCTCCACCCGGCACAGCCAGAAGAGGACTGGCCACCCCTCAGAGCCTGGTTCCTCTCTAGGTTTCTTCCTAGGTTTCTGCCTCTCTAGGGAGTTTTTCCTAGCCACCGTGCTTCTACATCTGCATTGCTGCTGTTTGGGGTTTTAGGCTGGGTTTTTTTATAGCACTTTGTGACATCTGCTGATGTAAAAAGGGCTTTAGAAATAAAAAAAATCTTATTGATGACTGTCACGAGAATTTCTATCTCTAATAGTTAAATTCAACCCAAGCTGTGAATAATTCCCAGAGGTTGTAATGCTCTAGTTAAATAATGAATTAAGCAAGCTCTCCAGTCTGCAAATGGGTCAGTTTATTTTCATTCAGAGACCGCTCTGCCGCCAAAACCACACACAGCCCTCTTTATAAGCGTCCAAACAAAGGACTTAGCCCCGCCCACCTTTTGGCGGTCTGTAACATTCCACAGTATAGAATGTTTTTATTGCCTTCTAACTCAGTTCACTAAACAGAATCAGGGGGTGGAACAAGTTTAGTCATATATTCTATACACACACAAATTCCTTTATCAATGACGCCAGTGACTGATGTGGTGTACTCCTCAATGCCATCGGAATAATCCCGGAACATGTTCCAGTCTGTGCTAGCAAAACAGTTCTGTAGCTTAGCATCTGCGTCATCTGACAACTTCCTTATTAACCGAGTCACTGGTGCTTCCTGCTTTAGTTTTTGCTTATAAGCAGGAATCAGGAGGATAGAGTTATGGTCAGATTTGCCAGATGGAGGGCGAGGGAGAGCTTTGTATGAGTCTCTGTGTGTGGAGTAAAGGTGGTCTAGAGTTTTTTTTTTTTCTCTGGTTTTTTAACATTTAACATGCTGGTAGAAATTAGGTAGAACGGATTTAAGTTTCCCTGCATTAAAGTCCCCAGCCACTAGGAGCGCTGCCTCCGGATAAGCGTTTCCTGTTTACTTATGGCCTTATACAGCTCGTTGAGTGCGGTCTTAGTGCCAGCATCGGTTTGTGGTGGTAAATACACAGCTACAAAAAATATAGATGAAAACTCTCTTGGTAAATAGTGTGGTCTACAGCTTATCATGAGGTACTGTACCTCAGGCGAGCAAAACCTCGAGACTTCCTTGGTATTAGATTTTATGCACCAGTTGTTTACAAATATACACAGACCGCCACCCCTTGTCTTACCGGAGTCAGCCGTTGTATCCTGCCGATGTAGCGTATATTCCGCCAGCTGTATGTTATTCAAGTCGTTCAGCCATGACTCGGTGAAACATCAAGTATTACAGTTGTTAATGTTCCGTTGGTAGGAAATGCTTGATCTTAGGTCGTCCATTTTGTTTTCAAATGATTGAACATTGGCTAATAGGATTGATGGAAGAGGCAGTTTACTCGCTCACCGTCGGATCCTTACAAGGCACCCCGACCTACGTCCACGATATCTCTGTCTCTTTCTCATGCGAATGACAGAGATTTGGGCCTTGTTGTGTGTCTATAGAATATCCTTTGTGTCCGACTCATTGAAGAAAACATATTTGTCCAATACGAGGTGAGTAATTGCTGTCCTGATATCCAGAAGCTCTTTTTGGTCATAAGAGACGGTGGCAGAAACATTATGTACAGAATAAATTACAAATAACGTGAAAAAACACACATAATAGTACAATTGGTTAGAGGGCTGTAAAACGGCATCCATCTCCTCCGGCGCCATCTCTGTCTATGCCCACATTCCTCCCAGGTGGGGAATTGTCCTCCCTTGCTAAGAAAATAACCCTCTCTGGGTGAGGCCGCAATTCAAACTGAGCTGATTGAATTCTAGACATCAAGCAAAATCAGGGATGTGCTCAGGAGTGCCGAATCCTTGTGTGTGTTTTAGGTGGCATGCTCAGAGGAATACAGCCAATAAAGAAACTTGCATTTTATGTGCTAACAATGTTTGGATCGACTTACACCTGCGAGTCCTCATTTTCCTCTATGAACCCAATATAGACTCACTACAGGAACCAACTTTCACATAAGTCAATCGAGGACTGCCTGCGCATCAAAATCACATTTAATCTCACGCGACAATCCAGAAGCTCGTGTCCGAGGGGAAATGGCACTTTTCCCATTAAGTAACTTAGTGTCCTATATGACTATTTAGTAAATACTAACATTACAGGGATATTTAGGTCTCAAGCTGACAGTATTTTCTGTTTGTTCTGTAGTTAAAGGAGCAGGCTATCCCGATAGACATTCAGACACAGACATCGCCTTGTTTTCTTTAAATGGTTGCTATATTTTTGGCCAGTTGTAATTAGGTCTAATAAACAAAATCCCATCTAGACCATCTTCTCTTCCTGTTAAGCCTTACAGCTAGTTGTTATTTTATATAGGCCTAGGCTTGGAAGAAATATACTCCAATTAAGCCCTCTTGTTGTTTGTAAAGTGAAATTAAAATGAAGACTTTTGTTTGAATGAATTACTCGACTGGTGTAGGTTTTCTCCATCTGTTGCTGTGCAACACTTGCATAACAAGTGAGCTATATTTTCAGCACCAGGCGCTGTTCGCCTCCTATTGATTGGGCCGCGGTTCTGCTTTACGTTTCAGCCCCACAGAACGGTCCGGTCCGCTGCCTGCTTTATTAGTTGACTGCAGTCTCTCTCCTCATCAATGAAGTTAAAATGTAACTTTCACATTATTTAGGTAGGGTAACTTCCGTCTTGGGACATTGCATTTAGGAGTTTTTGCATCTCGGGTCCGAGATGTATTTTTTTTAATGAAGAAAATATTCATAATTTGGGAGGGCAAATAATATTGTTGGCGGACCAGATTTGGCTCGCGGACCGCCAGTTGGGGAACCCTGCTGTGCAGGCTTCCTGCTTTTCACTCTGTCAATTAGTTCCTGCTTTTCACTCTGTCAATTAGTTCCTGTTTTTCACTCTGTCAATTAGTTCCTTCTTTTCACTCTGTCAATTAGTTCCTGCTTTTCACTCTGTCAATTAGTTCCTGTTTTTCACTCTGTCAATTAGTTCCTTCTTTTCACTCTGTCAATTAGTTCCTGCTTTTCACTCTGTCAATTAGGTTAGTATTGTGGAGTAACTACAATGTTGTTGATCCATCCTCAGTTTTCTCCTATCACAGCCATTAAACTCTGTAACTGTTTTAAAGTCACCATTGGCCTCATGGTAAAATCCCTGAGCAGTTTCCTTTCTCTCCGGCAACTGAGTTAGGAAGGACACCTGTATCTTTGTAGTGACTGGGTGTTGATACACTATCCAAAGTGTAGTTAATAACTTCACCATGCTCAAAGGGATATTCAACGTCTGCTTTTTTTAACCTATCTACTAATATGTGCCCTTCTTTGCGAGCCAATGGAAAACCTTGCTGGTCTTTGTGGTTGAATCTGTGTTTGAAATTCACTACTCGACTGAGGGATCTTACAATTATCTGTATGTGGGATACAGAGATGAATTTAATAATAGTTAAACTCTATTATTGCACACAGATTGAGTCCATGCAACTTATTATGTGACTTAAGGACATGTTTACTCCTGATCTTGTTTAGGCCTTAACAGGGGTTGGATACTTATTGACTCAAGACATTTCAGCTTTTCATTTATAAAAAATGTATACTAACACTTTGACATTATGGGGTATTGTGTGTAAGCTAGTGACATCTAAATGTAATAAAAGTTAAATTCAGGCTGTAACAACAAAATGTGGAGAAAGTCAAGAGGTGAATACTTTCTGAAGGCAGTGTATTCCCAGAGCATCTCAACCTAAGCTTGTTCAATCAACTAAATCAGTGTCTCCCTCTTTCTCTCGCTCCATCCAGGGATGATTTGCCAGAGTCGGCCTACATGCTGCTGGGTCTGAACCTGCTCTTCCTGCTGTCCCAGAACCGTGTGTCAGAGTTTCACACAGAGCTGGAGAGACTGACTGCTAAAGACATCCAGACCAACGTATACATCCGACACCCCGTCTCCCTAGAGCAGGTGACTGACTGCTAAAGACATCCAGACCAACGTATACATCCGACACCCCGTCTCCCTAGAGCAGGTGACTGACTGCTAAAGACATCCAGACCAACGTATACATCCGACACCCCGTCTCCCTAGAGCAGGTGAGACTGACTGCTAAAGACATCCAGACCAACGTATACATCCGACACCCCGTCTCCCTAGAGCAGGTGACTCCTGCTGTTTCAGACATGTACCCTCATTACCTTCCCAAGAAGAGTCATATTCTGGTCTTCATTGACTTCTTAGTTCAATGTTTTAACCTCAAGATGCCCGAGAAAGGATTTATGTTGACCAGTTCAATGTTGGATTTTGACACCCATCTCAGATTGTTCTGAAATCCTTGTCTGTTAGAACAGATAAGAATAACATTACTGAAACATTATTTTGTTGAAATATAATTTGATCTTTGAGAAGTGAAGCTAATTGATTGCACCCGAATTGGCCTTTTAATTTATAGGATTCACATAATATTCAAAAAATTATATAGATATATAGATATATAGATATATATATATATAGTACCCAACATCCGATTTAAGACCAAACTTCTTCCTAACATTGAGAAAGACATGATGAATCCAATAGATTGGCATTCCATTGTAGTCATTTAGCAGACGCTCTTATCCATACTGGCCCCCCGTGGGAATCGAACCCACAACCCTGGCGTTGCAAGCGCCATGCTCTACCAACTGAGCCACCCACAGAACCCACTACCCACTGAGCTACATCCCTGCCGGCCATTCCCTCCCCTACCCTGGACGAATTGTGCGCCGCCTCATGGGTCGAGGGTATTTGGGACTTCAGTCATTTCTCATGCCGAAACCGGATTACATACATCAATTCCAAAAGATGATATTCGCAATGCCACTAAGCAAAAAAAAAAACCCACCAATTACATCAAAAGCCACTACAAAGTAAAAACATGATTTTGTCATGAGTTCAGTACCATTTACTTGATTTTGCAGACCCACGACTATGGTGTATCGACATTAGCCAGTGTTAGCTACCTAGCTAGCCAGCCTAGCAAGCTCTAGTCTAGTCCAAATGAAACCGATGAAACCCTGCTGGCTAATGTGGCTAGCTAGATGACCAGTGGTGAGACAGTTTCAAGGCTCTATTTTGATGGTTAGGGAGAAATTAACCACATGACCACCTAGGTGTCATCGTATCACCACAGATCAAATTGATTTCAACAGTCCTTGATAGAGTGGACTAGCTTGCTGCACTGGTGTAAAATGTCCCTATTGCATATGATTTGTATATTAACATATCTGGGACATTTTGGAGAACACTTATGGATTGTTAGACACATACATACATCTATGGATTTTCTCTTTAAACTGATTTGACAACTGATTTGCGTTTCTGGGGTGATGTGGGGCTAACTAAATGAGAAATGGAAATGCAGCAAACTTTGATGTCAAATCCCTTCTTACACTTTAAGATGGGGGATGCAACCAAGCTCACATAAAACCATTCATGAAGACAAATGATCTGAAATATGTATGCCCCCACCTGCTGAGTATAAAAAAGAAAGATAATTATAAATACCCCAAAATAGATTCAATAGGCTTTTGTCATTCACACAGTTCTAATGAAATATCTTGCGTTTGATCTAAATATGGGTATATGAGGACATCTAGTGGTCACCAGGTTTTTCCTCCTCAGTCACTAGCTATCATAAATGTGTATTCCCCATTTCACAGTTTGGCTCAGAACAGGGCAGCACGTCTGGCCCTTAAATGTCCACGGAGCACTAACATTAATAATATGCATGCAAATGTCTCATGGCTCAAAGTGGAGGAGAGATTGACTTCATCGCTACTTGTTTTTGTAAGAAGTGTTGACATGTTGAATGAACCGAGCTGTCTGTTTGAACTACTGGCACACAGCTCGGACACCCATGCATACCCCACAAGACATGCCACCAGAGGTCTCTTCACAGTCCCCAAGTCCAGAACAGACTATGGGAGGTGCACAGTACTACATAGAGCCATGACTACATGGAACTCTATTCCACATCAAGTAACTCATGCCAGCAGTAAAAGTAGATTTAAAAAACAGATAAAAATACACCTTATGGAACAGCGGGGACTGTGAAGCAACACAAACATAGACACATACAGACACATGCATACACACACACAATAACATACACACTCTACACACACGTACACATGGATTTTGTATTGTAAATATGTGATAGTGGAGTATTGGCCTGAGGGAACACTAAATATATTGGGTAAAGTGTTATGAAATGTAATGTCATGTAATATTAAAAAGTCGCTAGCATGTTAACGTAAGCTAGCTAGCTAATGTCGATACACCGTAGTCATGGGTCTGCAAAATCAAGCAAATTGTACAGAACTCGTGACGAAATCATGTTTTGACATTGTAGTGGCTATAGATTTTTGGGTTGTTTGCTTTTTGCCTAGTGACATTTGGAATATCAACTTTTTGGCATTTTAATCTGGTTTCGGCATGAGAAAAATTACACATTCCTGCGAGGTACTGCGATAATTTCCACCCTTATGGATACGGAGCCTCAGAAATAAGAGATCCGGTCACGGATTAGGAGCCACTATCTTAGCTCATAGACTGGAATGACCCATATGTATATCGCTTCTTTGCTTGTTCTCTTCTCAGTTTGTCTTTGTGGAACAATGTCAATTCCAGCTGGCTTGTAGAATGTCTTCAACTCTTCATTATCTTCCTGTCAGTACCTGATGGAAGGAAGTTACAACAAGGTGTTTCTGGCCAAAGGGAACATCCCTGCTGAGAGCTACACCTTCTTCATAGACATTCTGCTAGACACCATCCGGTAAGAGACAGCATGATTCATATTGTCTGGGAATGGCAGATGCATGGATTCACTGAGTCATCCTTGTGGTCCAGCAATGACATGGTGTGATTCTTATCTGTCTGTTTCCAGTGATGAGATTGCTGGGTGCATAGAGAAGGCGTATGAACAGATCCAGTTCAACGAAGCTACCAGAGTGCTCTTCTCCTCCCCAAACAACATGACAGAGTATGCCAAGAAGGTTAGTTCATGTCTGTTCTACTCTGTTGTGTGCCCTACTGAACACTAGCCTGGTCCAATATCTGTTTGTGCTTGACAAAGTACCATAGGAGTTGGCTTTACAGAAGGGCCGATCCTTAGGACTATAGTTTAGTCCCCTCTCATCATATTAAAGTTGTCTGTGTGTTACAGCAGGACTGGACCCAGAACCTCTCATCATATTAAAGTTGTCTGTTTTACAGCGGGACTGGACCCAGAACCTCTCATCATATTAAAGTTGTCTGTTTTACAGCGGGACTGGACCCAGAACCTCTCATCATATTAAAGTTGTGTCTGTGTGTTACAGCGGGACTGGACCCAGAACCTCTCATCATATTAAAGTTGTGTCTGTGTTTTACAGCGGGACTGGACCCAGAACCTCTCATCATATTAAAGTTGTGTCTATGTTTTACAGCGGGGCTGGACCCAGAACCTCTCATCATATTAAAGTTGTGTCTGTGTTTTACAGCGGGGCTGGACCCAGAACCTCTCATCATATTAAAGTTGTGTCTGTGTTTTACAGCGGGACTGGACCCAGAACCTCTCATCATATTAAAGTTGTGTCTGTGTTTTACAGCGGGGCTGGACCCAGAACCTCTCATCATATTAAAGTTGTGTCTGTGTTTTACAGCGGGGCTGGACCCAGAACCTCTCATCATATTAAAGTTGTGTCTGTGTGTTTTACAGCGGGACTGGACCCAGAACCTCTCATCATATTAAAGTTGTGTCTGTGTTTTACAGCGGGGCTGGACCCAGAACCTCTCATCATATTAAAGTTGTGTCTGTGTTTTACAGCGGGGCTGGACCCAGAACCTCTCATCATATTAAAGTTGTGTCTGTGTTTTACAGCGGGGCTGGACCCAGAACCTCTCATCATATTAAAGTTGTGTCTGTGTGTTTTACAGCGGGGCTGGACCCAGAACCTCTCATCATATTAAAGTTGTGTCTATGTTTTACAGCGGGACTGGACCCAGAACCTCTCATCATATTAAAGTTGTGTCTATGTTTTACAGCGGGGCTGGACCCAGAACCCAGGTGGTTACTACTCATTCAGCGGCCAACAGCAGAGGACAGGGGAAGTCAACATCCCCTCCACCGAGCTGGCTACGCAGGTCATCGAGTACGCACGGCAGCTGGAGATGATTGTCTAGGACGGTGGTTCACAACCTTTTTCAGTTACTGTACCACCAACTGAATTTAGCTCTGACTGGAGTTTTACAAGTAGGTCTATGGTCTCATGAGTCTCCTCAAGTACCCCCTGGGGTCCTAGTACCCTGGTTGGGAACCACTGGTCTAGAGAGTAACATACTGCAGAAGATAGCTATTACACACACACACTTTATACCCAACAACAAGTCCTCTGTTATGTCTACATACATTGTCAGACTGGTAGATTTGGCAACACTGACGTTCTCTCCCACTCAAACTGCTTCTCGTGGGTTAGGGTTAGGGTCCAGAGAAGTGACAAGTGTTTTTACATCCTCTGGTCTGACAGTGTGTTTATACATCTGAGTAATGTACTGAAATAATTGTTTTGCATCACTTTCCAACTAAGGCCAGTCTGTTCAGTGTCTCCTAACAGCTCTGTCCACCTTTGGGAATGAGTTCAAAGATTGAAGTGTTGTTACATTCTAATGTCCAAGTTGCCATTTACCCTGACTACATAGAGGAGCATGATGTGAATGTTTGGAGGGTTTCTGTCTAGAGATTAGGGTCCATTTCCTAATGCATAGTGTGCTGCAGCACAGTGGCCATAGAGTAAAACATGTTCAGGACATCCTGCTAAATGGCATATTATATTATTATTATTATCCTGCGTTACACCTGATACTTGGCTTTACATTGTGCTCCGAGGTATCAGCAAACTCATTCAGTAAACTCAAGTTAATATTTTTTACAGAGGTCTATTTCAATGCCCTGGCCTTGTCTCATAGCAACTTGCGGGTGTTTTTAAAATGGTAACTTATTGCCCCCCCCCCCCCCACCCCAATGGTTTGTAATCCAATTGATCTGGAAAATACAATTGTTTGTTTAAGAAATGTAAAATATTAAACATATTTTTTTCTGACTTATGGTCTACTTTCTATATCTGTGTCTTATGTGATTTAACATACTAACTATACTACTCAATTATTTCATCCATTATTTATTTAGGAGATCAGTTTCATGTAGTATAAATATTTCCTAGTGTGACTCCAGGATTGTCACTAGCGCATCTCCCCTCAGCGTTAGGGCGGCGGCTAGGGTCGCTGTGGTGACCCAGGGAGGTTCTGGGCTGGGCGGCGGCTAGGGTCGCTGTGGTGACCCAGGGAGGTTCTGGGCTGGGCGGCGGCTAGGGTTGCTGTGGTGACCCAGGGAGGTTCTGGGCTGGGCGGCGGCTAGGGTCGCTGTGGTGACCCAGGGAGGTTCTGGGCTGGGCGGCGGCTAGGGTCGCTCACACGGATAGTTCCTGCTCACGTTCAACCTGACGGGAGAGGAAGATGGAGAAGAGACAGTTAGAAATGATCTGGCTAGTATAGGAATGGTTGGGTTGAAAGAGAACGTTAGGTTTCTCCACTGGGGGAATAGAAATGATCTGGCTAGTATAGGAATGGTTGGGTTGAAAGAGAACGTTAGGTTTCTCCACTGGGGGAATAGAAATGATCTGGCTAGTATAGGAATGGTTGGGTTGAAAGAGAACGTTAGGTTAATGGGTTCTGGGCTGGGGTGGGGGTGGGCTGGTTCTGGGCTGGGCGGTGGGCTGGTTCTGGGGGGTGGGCTGGGCTGGTGCTGGGCTGTGGGGGTGGGCTGGTTCTGGGGGGTGTGGGCTGGTTCTGGGGGGTGGGGGTGGGCTGGTTCTGGAGGGTGGGCTGGTTCTGGGCTGGTGCTGGGCTGTGGGGGTGGGCTGGTTCTGGGCTGGAGGTGGGTTGGTTCTGGGTGGTGGGCTGGTTCTGGGGGGTGGGGGTGGGCTGGTTCTGGGGGGTGGGGTTGGGCTGGTTCTGGGGTGGGGGGGTGGAATGTCTGGAAGGCCCTTGCTGCATCATGGCTGGGCCTGTGGGTTTGGCAGGGGTTTGAGGAGACCAGGGTTTCAGTTAGCTGGTAAATGGCGGCTTTTGGACAAAAATAAATAAATGAAAAGCCGATAAACTGTTGTCTGCCAAAATGATAGATCCCATCGCAAAATAATGCTTTTTATTCATTGATGGAAATACATTTGACCATCATGCTTATCGGTCTATAGGTAATTTGCATAATTTAGTGGAATTAAATTGGCCTGTGTATTCTGGTTAATCATCACGAGTCTTATTTATCCAACACAACTATCACGCGCACAGCATGCAGAGCCTATTTTGAGCTGGATATTTCCTGCATCTCCTCAACTGGTTGCTGTTGGATTAAAACATGTGTTTTTATCATTCTAAATGCAATCACGTAATTAAAAAGAGCTACTATTTTTTTTTTTCTTAACTGGTAATTGAAGCGCAAATCCCATTGAAGTGCAGGCAGCACTCCATCAGTGTGTCACCCACCACTTTACAATGTGAGCTGGATGCAGTATGCATTTGGAAAACATAATTGTTTGAAACCTGAATGTTTTATTTCACATTATGAAGCATGTCTTCAGAGTAGCCCGTAGGCTAAATCCGAAAACGTGGAGGGAATTCTATTATAAAGACTTCGTAGGCAGCGGGTGAGTTTCAAGTTTGGGGGTAAGCTTACAATTTATCTTACAATTTCTACCGTTCTGCCAGTTATGATTTTCATATGCACATTTTCGCGGAACAGTTTTATTTTAATAATGCATTTGTTTTTCAAAATCATTGTCATGTGGTTAATCATAAAAATCTGAATTAAAATGATAACAATTTCAAAGTCAACTAAAACGAAATCACCAGCCTCTGCCATATGGACACGTTGATACACTGTGATCCATTGGTGGCTAAAGAAATGAGCTCATGGAACTCACAGCCTATAGGCCAATGCAGCAGTAGACCTAGAACTTCCATTGCTCTTTCACACCGAGGGTTGGTGATTATCAAGGGGGAGATTGTTGGAAAGATTTTTCAAATAGCTGAGGAACTATAGTTCTAATATACTGTATTATAATTTGCAATGGATGTTAGAAAAACATTTTCCTACATTTCTGCGCAGCAGGCCATGTACTTCTATGTGTAGTCAGGCGTGCTCCCTCAACATTATCAGAGAAACCAGACATATGCTCACATGGAGCACTCCAAACAAAAGACAAAAAATTGACTAATCTCAAAAATGATGGTTATTAAATAAACAACTTGTTTCTCACAAATGTTGCAGGTTGTGAACTCTGCAAACAACGTTTCCACTTCGAGAATGAGAATGGTAAATGACGGGGATCAACGGTATATTTACTACTGGTGACATACACTACCATCAAAAGTTTGGGGTCACTTAGAAATGTCCTTGTTTTTGAAAGAAAAGCAATTTTGTTGTCCATTAAAATAACATCAAAATGACTCCGGGATGCTGACCTTCTATAATTATAATAATATAATAATAATAATATAATATAATATGCCATTTAGCAGACGCTTTTATCCAAAGCGACTTACAGTCATGCGTGCATACATTTTTTTTGTGTATGGGTGGTCCCGGGGTTCGAACCCACTACCTTGGCGTTACAAGCGCCGTGCTCTACCAGCTGAGCTACAGAGGACCACAGGCAGAGTTCGAACAGTTCTAGGCAGAGTTTGCAAAGAAAAAGCCATATCTCAGACTGCCCATCTTAATCTTTTCTTTTTATTGGCCAGTCTGAGATATGGCTTTTTCTTTGCAACTCTGCCTAGAAGGTCAGCATCCCGGAGTCGCCTCTTCACTGTTGACGTTGAGACTGGTGTTTTGCGGGTACTATTTAAGTGGCTCAGTGGTCTAAGGCACTGCATCGCAGTGCTAGCTGTGCCAGTAGAGATCCTGGTTCGAATCCAGGCTCTGTCGTAGCCGGCCGCGACCGGGAGACCCATGGGGCGGCGCACAATTGGCCCAGCGTCGTCCAGGGTAGGGGAGGGAATGGCCGGCAGGGGATGTAGCTCAGTTGGTAGAGCATGGCGTTTGCAACGCCAGGGTTGTGGGTTCGATAAAAATAATGTATGCGCTAACTGTAAGTCGCTCTGGATAAGAGCGTCTGCTAAATGACTAAAATGTTATGTAATGTAATGAAGCTGCCAGTTGAGGACCTGTGAGGCGTCTGTTTCTCAAACTAGACATTAATGTATTTGTCTTCTTGCTCAGTTGTGCACCGGGGCCTCCCACTCCTCTTTCTATTCTGGTTAGAGCCGTTTTGCGCTGTTCTGTGAAGGGAGTAGTACACAGCGTTGTACGAGATCTTCAGTTTCTTGGCAATTTCTCTCATGGAAAAGCCTTCATTTCTCAGAACAAGAATAGACAAACGACTTTCAGAAGAAAGTTCTTTGTTTCTGGCCGTTTTGATCCTTTAATCGAACCCACAATTGCTGATGCTCCAGATACTCAACTAGTCTCAAGAAGGCCAGTTTTATTGCTTCTTTAATCAGCACAACAGTTTTCAGCTGTGCTAACATAATTGCAAAAGGGTTTTCTAATGATCAATTAGCCTTTTAAAATGATCAACTTGGATTAGCAAACACAACGTGCCATTGGAACACAGGACTGACGGTTGCTGATAATGGGTCTCTGTACGCCTATGTAGATATTCCATAACAAATCAGCAGTTTCCAGCTACAATAGCCATTTTAAAACATTAACAATGTCTACACTGTATTTCTGATCAATTTGATGTTATTTTAATTGACAAAAAAATTGCTTTTCTTTCGGAAATAAGGACATTTCTAAGTGACCCCAAATTTTGGAACGGTAGTGTGTGTAATGGGGAATTGAAATAATTCACACAATGAAACGATGAATGCGGTAGACAGCGGAGCCATTCTGGAGAGAAACTGGCCTGTATCTTCACCACACCCCTCCCCTTCTGGAGAGAAACTGGCCTGTATCTTCGCCACACCCCTCCCCTTCTGGAGAGAAACTGGCCTGTATCTTCACCACAGCCCTCCCCTTCTGGAGAGAAACTGGCCTGTATCTTCGCCACACCCCTCCCCTTCTGGAGAGAAACTGGCCTATATCTTCGCCACAGCCCTCCCCTTCTGGAGAGAAACTGGCCTAT